TTGGATGTCTAAAATATATTTCAGGGTACGTCACATTTTCAGTAGGCAATTTTATAGAAGAACTGACCCATATGTTTAACGAGTCTCACTGAACAGGATGGTCTAGGGATAAAGCTCCAGACTTTTATTTCGGAGGTACTTAGCTTGAATCCCAGCGGGGACATTATCTACAGAGGACTCTGGCGATTTTCCTAAGTCTCTCCGTGTATATTTTGAGACAGTACTTCGATTATTCCATTACCATTTCCTTCCTAATCCATCCTCTCCAGTCTATAATTCATTAATCATATTGTTACTCGACTGTGTTTTATCTCCTGATATCTTTCCATGGCTCTTCCAGCCTATTCAGGACCCTGGTCTCTTATTCAATTCCGTAATCGTTTTTCATAGACGGTAGGACCCCTTGTATGGGGGATCAGCCTGTCGCAAGACCTCTACCTAAACACAGAATAAACGCATACGCACACCAAACATCCATGAGATTCGAACCCACGATCTCAGCGTCCGAGCGAGGGAAGACAGTTCATGCCTTAAACTGCGCGGCTACTGTGACCAGCTTTACCTCCTGGTGGCTTTCTAAAAGTAACCCACAAATATAGAAACTTCGGTTTCAGGGATATAGGCTGTTACTCCATGTCTTTCTTGTCTATGTAACTAAGAAAAGATGCCAACGGATGTAACATATTGTCGAATATAGAAATATTTTTACAGTCGAAATTTTCGACGCTTGGCTTTCGTAGGATTAAATAAGATTTAATACATTGGCTTTCTTTGACGATTACGAAATGTTCATTAATCTTATTAGTGCATTTAAAGTGACACCGGTTGTAAGTCTAAATAATATATATATATAATGAAATATAAAAATATGAAACGTTTGGTAGTTAAACATTTCTCTTCAGATATCCGAATTAATAACGAACTTCATGGAACTGAGCTCTTCTGCAGAAGCCGCTAGTTGTGCAGCTACTCAAGAATTTCCCAGCATTTTATGGAACCCGAAGGTTCATTACCGTGTTCACAAGAGCCCTCCACTGGTCCCTATCCCGAATAAGATACAAAGAATCCATACATTTTCTAGACCCCTTGTGACGTTTCATAAGGAGCTTATTTTTTACGCGGAATTTTAGCCCCACGCCCAAGCCCCAACCTGAAGGACAACCCCTTCTAGACTCTTCGCGACTGCTTCAGCCCACTATATCTGAGGCCTTCTCCATATCTGAGTAAACGAAATGAATTCTGAATATATTAAATATAAATCCGTAGAAGGATACAAATTTAAGTATTATATTGAAAGAATGTGATATAAAAGATTATTTAAATGCAGTATTTAAATTAAATTCTTGGAAAAGTAGTGACACAATAGTCATACTTTGGGCTGTGGTACAAAGCGACATAATAAAATGTAAGATGTACGGGCAATAGTATGCACGTCAGTCTTCTAGTTTGCCAGAAAATCTCGCCAAAATCCATTAAATATATTGAATTCATCGGTCGATGTGCTAGTTTCACCTCACTCCAACAAATGGCATAAAAACTGATGCATTTGCTTCGATCTTCCGATGGCTAGACTCGAATTCCCTTCGACTGCATACAGAATACAATAAATGGAATAAAACCAGTTGTAACCGGTCTCGAGAGACTAAGCAATTGAGGCCAAGAACTCCAGTCGAGATGAAATGACTGTCTCGCAGACATTACACTAGATACGTAGGGGCGTCCAAATTACTGACATTTCATCCACAACTCAAGGGTACATCTCCTGCAAATGACCCAATTATTATTCTTTGTACAGTAATCAAAGAAAAAACTTATGTACAAAATTAAAATACATCAGAATACAGGTAGAATTAACAAATCATAAACACTGGTTTTTTCGTACTTTGTCAATCGTCCGGTATTCTAAAAACTGAAGAACACAACTTTTCGGAAACTGGATCTGTTTCTGTCCTCAAGGGGGAGAAGACACCTGCTCTATTGGGGCCCTTAGAAATAGCTAACCTCAGTCACTGAACCTTTTCCCTAAGAACTGTCTGACTGAGCGTCGACAATTGAAGGAAACCTTTGCAGAGGAAATTTTGGGGATGATATCCTGAGGTTTGCATCTCATCAGGGAAGTTATATGATTAAGGGTTTTAGCTAACTGAATTTTTAGGCTTTCTAATTTCCTAGGAGCCGGTCACGGTAGCCGAACAGTCTACGTCATGCAGTGTCTTCGCTCATTTGGAAGCCGGGATCGTGAGTTCGAATCCCACTCAAGGAATTAATGTTTAGTGTTTCTGTGTGAGTGTGCGTTTTTATGTGTTTGTGTAAGCTAGAAGTCTTGCGACGAGCTTTTCACCCGCCCAAGGAGTCCTGCCGAATGTCTAATATCTAGTAAACCAAAGTGAAACGGAGAGTTTAATGGAGGTAGGCCAAGACCCAAATTGGGGCTGTAGCGCCAAAGAAAATATTCTTAGGAAGGTTATATACCGGGTCCATACTGATTGGACAAGTAGGTCCTTCTAAGGGAACCGACAATGTAGTTGTCGCCCCCCTTCACCTGAGGACGGAAACAGATCCAGTTTCCGAAACGTCGTGTTTTCTAGTGTCTACATGTTTCGACAACACGTGGGCCATCAGCAGGCAACTTCGTCCTTAGTGCCCTTAGGCACATTGTTGTTGTTTTTGTTTTTGTTAATTTGCTTCGTAGGATATTTTCATCCTATCTTTTTTAACTGCCGTTTCAGTGTTCCTTCTTAGTGTGTCGTTCACTTTAGTTGTTTGTGTTTAGCGCTGTTTGTTCTTCGTATTCTTTGTACTTCAAAATGTTGCCCCAGTGCAACAGGATGCCGAAATATAATATTATGTAAAATGAACCCTTCTTTCAGGCGACATAGTGTCTCTCTCGACTCCAGTTTCACTGTCTCTTAAACTGATACATTTGTTGAATATGTTCCATGATATCGTTTCGTTAAATAAACGTAAACTGTCTCTGTTTGTTATTTAAATTATGAAATCTATATTTGTGGGGTCTAATAAACTGAACAAATGTTTATTTCTGCAGTACTTATGTATTTACAGGATTTTGTATAGAAATACATTCAGTTCTTTTTTCTGTTGCTTGGTGTTCATCTGTGTTATGTTGCTCTCGTGTTTGCCTATATCTGTGAAATTTTTTGAACTGAGACTGAAAGTCTCTAATGATATGGATTATATTTAGACTACCTCAGGTTTCTTTCCACTAAATTACGCTTGAATCTATTTAACAGTTAAGAAGACATTTTGTATCCCCATATTTATGAAGGAAGCCGATCACGGTGACCGCAGTTTCGCCTGCTCGAACACTGGACCGTGGGTTCGAATCCCACTCAAGACATGGAAGTTCTGTGCGTTTATTCTGTGTTTTTGCTGCTATGTGTTTAGGTAGTGGTCTTGCGACGGGCTGATCCCCCGTCTAAGGAACCATACAAGCTTTGTATAGGAACGAAAGTGAAGAAGCAGCCATGACACAACACAAGGCTGTAGATCTATTGATGAACGAATCAATGAGTTGCTGATGAAAGAAGAAATTATAGAATATACAGAAAAATAAACATTTCTATACAATAAACACAACACTACAAATACATTTTTTTGGAATTTATAGATATTGATGTTGCTTATAATAATAGGAAAATAAGAGAGTTTTGATGGCCCTAATGTTCTAACACAAAACTATGTGAATATGTTATTATGGCGGATGAGACTTCGGCTTCACCCTGTCTTGGCAAAATATCCCCCTAACAAATCATTCAGTTTCCACAGAAGCGATGCATACAAACATTATCATTATTTGTGCTGTAACAGGGACGCGCTGAACTTCCGCATTGTCAGATTTGAATTGCAAGCGGTTAGACACAATTGACGTGTACTGCAACCGTTCCATATAACACAAGCCACCAGCTGAGTGTAAAAGTGTACTATGTTCAATAACTCCAACTTTCAGAAAATGGTTTTGCCTTTAATTCTTGCTGCAACTTAAGTATGGCTTAGAACAAATTACATTCTGAAATTCCATACAAGCAAGTAACGTAAAGCAATGGAACTGAAAGGACACAGTGCAACCGGAAGTAGAGAATGAGAAATGTAAATTACCTCATTTTCGCCCAAAAGTGGAAATAAACCATCACAACGCTCAGGCGGTGAATTTGTTTTGTGGATAAAGTTTGAAATGTATATGGTGATGTTATGTGGTTTACTCCGTTTCAGAACTCGACTCCATAACTTTTCATTTTAATTTAAAATAATTACGTAAGTTTTTGCCACATGGCAGCCACGAAATTTAACTACCCAAATTTAAACTGAGCACCTAATTAATGAATACGAAAAAAATAGCTTTACCATTATGGAAACCTATTCCGACCAAACTTATTGAACATCACAGCAACATTCGATAACTTTCAGTAGCCTAGCAGCCGCAAACAGATGTGGATTGAATGGCGCCGGCGTTTCGGTTCATGCTTACCACCCAGTTTTTTTGTATATTTAATTGATTTTAAGAAAATATTGGGTGAAGACTGGTATTTCATCTTGCCAAGCCTTATCGTAGTTGGTTGAAGCACTATGCCACAAGCCTGAAGGTCGCGGGTTAGATTCCCAATGAGCTCATTGCATTATTTCAATTCACCTAATCCTTCCAGCCGCACTACGGCCCTGGGGTTGATTCAGCCTCTACCGGAAATGAGTACCAGGAATCTTCCTGAAGGTAAAGGGTAGTCGACCGGTGCGTAAGGGTAACAAACTCACCATGTGTGGACCTCGACGTCTCACCAGTCTTTGGGTCTTCACGGCCTGTTACAGGGATAGCTTTACCTTTACTAAGGAGTCAGAAGCGCTGCACGCGACTCGCCACGTCTACTTTAGGCAGTCAGTTTAAAGTACCCAGTTCTGCTAGAGATCACGTCGTGGTGTGGCGCAGTTCGGTGCCCTTGTATGACTTACTGCGTGTGGATATTAGACGTGTCTCCTTCACTCCACAGGATGATGAGGCCTGCGCTGGAGACGAACCGGTGGACGAGTTCGTGTGTGAGGCTGGACAATGTCGCCAGGCGGCCGCTCGCATATTGGCGTCTATGAGCTTGAGGGCTGATCCATGCCGTGACTTCTACAAGTTCGCGTGCGGCGGATGGTCAGCAGGGACAGATGGGCGTCGAGGGAACATGTCCAGTGGCTTCGGTCAGAACCCGGAGTTAAGCTTCAACACCCTCCAAAAACACGTGGATCGCGAGATACAGCGTAAGTCCTGTGTTTTGTAACCGTACGTCCCTCGTCAAAATTATATAATTAAGGGTATGAAGTACTTATACATTGTTTAATACCGTGAGAGACGCTCCATCGGCGAGGTACCATCCCCGGACCGTCTGGTTGTAATTCCGTTATTGTCCTCCTTAGGCTGAGGGTGCCGCTATTGTCCCTAACGCCGCCTGTTTACTCCCAGTATATCATAAACCGATGAACTGACCGTGTGCGAGACCGGCCAGGAGGGGTCTTGGATTACTTGAAGACCGACAGAGGTTTATGGACATCCTGAAAAATACGAATGTTGGGCAGATGTCGGGCTCGACACTTGGCTATCTCCTTTTTATTTTCTTGTTTTTCGGTGGCCAACTGGGGGACTTGTAAAGAAGATGAGGGGTCAGTTGTAGGAAGCGAAGGAGGACAGTAGTTGGAAGGCAGATAGAGAGGAGAGACGTGTTTAAGAGTAGTGGTAGCTAGTCGGCGGACAGAGCGGCTAGC